TTTTTTGCATCTAATGGAGAAAAACTGCTTAAGAAACCCTCTCTTGCATCAGTTTCTAGAATACCATAAAAATGGTTGAAATGAAAAAGCTGCTGCTTAACAGGAATTTTGCAAAACTGACAATTCATTGAAAAAGATAATATGCAGGAAAAATAGGACTGTCTCTAATATTTTATAGTGCAGCCCATAACCATAGTATATAAACCTATGTAAAATCAATAGCAGAAATGGAGCTCTTGTGCATTTCAAGAAAGCATTGGTCCTTCTCCCTTTTGTCTCTCAAAACACTACATAGTATTGGCTAAAATGGTATTTAAAGGCCTGTTTTGGCTTATAGGTATAGATATATGCATTATAAGGGGTCAAGATAGGCAGCAGGGGTTAAATGGATTTCTAAAGAGCTTGGGAGATGCACACAGCTTCTCATGGCCCTGAAAACAGATGGGCTGTCTAGCACAACAAGGCCAAAGGATGGACACAGCCTGAGAATTGAAGAGGGCATGCCATAACATGAGATCACATACTTCAAGGCAGACAGGTTGCCTAATACAACAAGGACACAAAGCCTGGGAACTGAGGATGTATGTACCATACTGTCCCATGACATGAAATAAGTGACACTAGCTACAAGTAGGGGGGATGAGTCCTGGTTTTGGAGGAACAGACCAAATTAGGAGAAGTCCTGGAAGGCTACATGGACATGTGACCACAGAGAGACATCCAACGAGAGGTAGCCATGGATGAAGAGCCATCAGGAGTCATCAAGTGAGAAGGAGAATACAAAAGCACAGACTTGAGATTAACAAAGGGTCCCTCCCTGTTTCACTCCCTGAGAGGGGTCCCCATCCCTGTTCCCCGGGAAGGTTTTCCAAGACCACCATGGACCGAGGGCATACCAGCAGCCCATCTCATGCACCCCACTGGAGGGGGGCTGTGGGTCTTGGCATTCCGCCCCCAGACTGCGAGGGTCTCAGAGTGGAGCCTGCATCCTGACCGGAGGTACTTTGACTCTGATGACAACCCTAGGATTGGTAGATATAGAATTGTTTGATTGTTTGTATTGTTGTTTTTTTGTTATCACTCTTTATCAATAAACTTGCCTATTATCAACTGGCAGGTATTGTGGGCAGTCTGAGGGTTGATCTTACCTGGAACAAAGGTATAGGGGCTGGGTCCAAATCCAGTGCCAACATACAGAATATTCTTCTATTCGTTGTTTGGTTGGTTGGTTGGTTTTTTTGTATTTGGTTGATTAACCTGTTCGATCAAGTTGGTGTGGGTGGGAGGGTTATTTTTTACTTTTGTGACCTGGGGTACCTGGAAACATTTATGAGCTTTTGTTCTTTTAAAAAGGTTTGTCCAAAGAGAAGTTTAACCAAATATGTAGAGAAATATTTAGAGGGAAAAATACCTATAACAACCTCAGTGACCTTGGAAAAAGACATTATTTCCTTCACTGTAGAAGAGCATGATGAAAAAAACCTGCCAGCTTTGTTTAGTATTAGAGAAAACATGAAGATAGTTATCAAATATTTTTAATAAATCAAAATGGCTTCACAGTATTTTGAGTAGTGCATATTTATAATACAGCTTTAAATCTTTTGAATGAAGTAGGCTGCAATACATGGCAGTACCATCTAATCTGTCTATCAGATGATATAATACAGAGGTCTTGACCACTTGAAGTTATTAATGATTCCCTGACTTGCTTCACAAAAGGAGTCTTAACCCCAGTGTTCTGAAAAAAATGGATTTTAGATATTCCTAGAATAATTATGTTCTGCCTACCTAAATTCTTCCTGAAGATTCAATTTTATGTTATGTTCTAACTCATTTCTGTCAACTGTTTTGTATAGTGTTCACTGCATATTGTCAAATGGCTATTGTAGTCCACAGTACTGAACTTGGACTATAAAACTGCTGTTTACCATTTGCAATGGCTATTTCAGTAACCACACTTCAATTGTGGGTGAATGACTTGAGTGGAAATATTTATGTACTATACATCATAATGGTTTATAGTCTGTATTATTCTTAGATTGTAAAGTACAGCATATGCATGTATACTACTGGTATCATTTGAGTGTTTCAGTTTGTAGATCATTAGTATTTCTTTCTACATCTGCTTGATAGAAATCTGGTGTCATTTTGTAAATAAATTGATTGGAATCATGAATAGAGTATGAATTCTGTCCATAGTGGGTCTTCTGTGTATGTCTGCTGCTTCTGAAGTCACCAACACCTGATAAACACTTTCTTTTACTGAAAAGAAATGCAGCAATAATGAAGCAGTGCTTTCTCTTTCATGTAAATCTTTACATGTTCCTTCTTTTCTCTTTCCCTCGATGGAAATATCCTTTTGAGAGGAGGTCATCACCAGTTGAGAGGAGGTCATCAGCAGCAATCCTTCAGTTCAAGGATGATCTCTACCATGGCTCATTGAGTCTTGAGGTGACCTAAGGGGCCAATCCTTGAGCCACAGACCCATCTGCAAATGTTGCAGATCTTTCTGCAGGGGAGAGTAAGCTGTAGGATTTCTCTCCTTTTCCTTCCACCACTCTATCTTTTCTGCTTCAAGGGCAAGACGCTTTACTTCCAAAAAGGGCCGCTGCTTTGTTGATATTGCGGCACCATTGGAGTCGGTCTGCAGCCAGCTTCTCCCAGCTCTTTATGTCAGCATCCATTTTCTTGAGGTGTGCCTTCAATGTGATCTTGTAGCATTTCCTGTGGCCACCATGAGATCTCAGGCCATTACTAATCTGGGAGTAGAACTCTTGCTTTGGGAGTCAGGAATTGAACATCTGCATACAATGTCCAGTCCAGCGTAGTTGGTGCTAAAGGATCACCAACTGGAGGCTGGAAACATTAGCTTCAGCAAGTGTGCTTGTCTTTGTGTGGCAATCTTACCACTTGGTGTGTAGGATTTTCTGGAGTCATTGTTGATTATATGTTTCCAGGCTCTTGATATGATGACTGTAGTCCACGCACATTCCACATCCGTAGAGGAGGGTGGGGGTGATGACTGCATTGTAGACTTGGATCTTGGCATCTTTCTGGAGATCATGATGAATAAAGATGCACCAAAGTAATATCCTTAAGGAGGCACTTTCACACCAGATCTTGTGCTGGATCTCCTCCTCAGTCTTTATTCTCTGAGAGAGGTGGCTACTGAGGTTGGGAAAGTGCTTGGCTACCACCAGGGTCTTTCTCTTGATTGTAATTTGGGGAGAGGGACAACATTTATGGCCTGGGGCAAGCTGATAGAGCACTTTGGTCTTCATGATGTTGAGAGAGAGGACCAAAGTTTGGTAGACTTCTCTGAAAAGATCTAGTTGGTCTGGAGGTTTTCCTCACTGTGCACAAGGATTGCACACTTGTCGGCATATTGAAGGCCAAGGGTCATTGTTTTGAGAACTTTTGTCTTTCACTGAAAATGTCCCATATTGAAGAATCCTCTATCCATTTGGTATTCTATGTCAATTCCAGAAGGAAGGTGGTACTTAATGAGAACCAAGATGACTGTCAAAAAATGGAGAACAGAGTTGGGGTGATAACACATCCATGGTTAACTCCAGTTCAGATGATAATCAGATCTGTCTCCAATCCATTACACAGGATGGTCACAGTCATCACTTCATGAAGAAGCCTCAGGACCTTGATGTACTTTTCCAGACATCCAAAACTGGCCAGTACCTTCCACAGTTAACTCATGGTTCAAGAGTGCCTTAAAGTGCTCTTTCTATCTGGCTTGGATAGAGAAATTGTCTTTGAGGAGCTCTGAGCCATCCTGTGATTGCAGGAAAGTAGGACTGTGGGAAGTTGGGGTATAGATGGCTTTCATTGTCAGGAGAAAGCTGTGTATGTCATGTTTGTCATCATAGAGCTGGATCTCTTTGGCTTTATCTTGCCAACACTCTTTTTTGATTTTCCAGATTGTCCTTTGAGCTTTGGCTCTCAGGAGCTGATATATCTCCTTCTTCTGCTGAGATGAGGTGCAACATTGCTATTCAGAATAAGCCCTTCTCTTCTGGTTCAGGAGGGTTTGGATTTCAGTGTCACTCCCATCAACCCAGTCCTGGTATCAATGGGTAATATAGGCAATGGATTTAGCAAAGGCCATATGAATGGCAGTTTTAAACCCCTTCCAGTGTTCCTCAATGTTGCTTTCATTTATGGACAGGACAGAAAGTTTTCCATGAAGACACTGTTGTGGATCCTTACAGCCCTTCGGGTCTTGAAAAGATTTGGTATTGAGAGTCCTTTGCATTGCTTTTGACTGTTTTCTGTGTTTTAGAGCAAGCCACATGTTCATAATGGATCTGACAAGAAAGTGATCTGCCCAGCAGCCATCAGTTCTTCGCATAGTTTGCATGATACAGACATCCATTTGATCACAGACTCTAACAGTAACATAGACAAGGAAGTGCCAGTGCTTAGAGCAATGGTGTCTCCATGTGTTCTTACATTTGTCACTGTTTGTCTGAAGATGGTGTTCATGTGACAAGACCACGCTCTGTGCATTTGCTCAGGAGAAGAATGCTGTTGGAGTTGACTTTCCCTACTCCTTCCTTCCCAATGGTGCCACTCCAGAGTTCCAGGTCATGTTTGACTCTGGCATTGAAGTCACCAAGGAGAATGATCTTGTCCTCCTTGTGAGTATTACTCAGAATATTGTCAAAGTTGAAATAGAGCTGTTCTTTGACATCATTGTTAGCATTAAGCATTGGGCCATGCATGCTGATAACAGTGCTGTACTGCTTGTTGCTAAGCTTAAGACAAAGAATTGTGAGACATTCATTAATGCCCTGAAGTTGCTCCATAAATTGACTGACTAGCTGGTTCTTGACAGATACATTCTGGTGGATGCATATGTCCTGGACTAGGTTCCCCTTCCAGAAGAAGGTGAAGCCTCCACCCTCTTTTTGCAGCTGACTGTCATCCAGTCATCTTGTCTCACTTAGAACTGCCATCTTGATGCTGTATCTCACTAGTTCCCTGGGGACAATGGCAGTTCTTCTTTCTGGTTTTTCCTTGTCTTGGTTATCCACTGAGGTTTGAATGTTCCATGTTGTGAAAATTATTGTCATCTTATGTTTTCAACTGCAGAAAGAATGATCCTGTTGAACACAGTTATCCAACCAGGATAAGGCATCCTAGGTTTAGAACACCTTTTCTACCCCCTTTCCCATGCAAAACAGAGGGTATTTTGAATAGGGATGCTTAGTTATGGTACAAGCTGCCAAATTGCACCCCTGTCTCAACCCAGATGCAAGATGACCATCAAACTACCAACACCTGCATGTAGATTTGTGGCTAGAGATTGCTGGATTCGCTAGTCCTGTATCCATCACCACAGGGCTTTTGGGGGTTGGTACAGGAGATCATGTTGTTTCCCATGGTAGAAACCGGTGTGTGACTTTGTTTAATGTAAGGAAGCTGGTGTATGAAAATAGCAAGCACATGATCTGGACAAGGTAAAGATCTGAGCCCAGTGGCAAGGGAGACCCCTAAATGACAGGAGACCTCCATCTTGCTACAGCCTTCTTTCATCTTCACAGCCTTTGAGATTCTGACATCTTCCACCTGATCCACCACTAAGATCTTGAGGTTGGACTGTGGTTTGTCTGGAACATCCCCTCCAGCCCGTGTGCCATGTGGGTGACCCTGCCAGGTGTGTGACTCAGAGTGACATAGCTCCAAGGGTCTTTGGCACTCACAAGCATCCCCACAACTACAAGGTGTCAGTCCATGGAGAGTTTTTACTTCTAGAAAGTGACCTTTAACCATTAACGTCAGTGTTCTAGTCTAGGATGCTCTTCAAGCTACAGTAAACCTCTCATAAGCTTCAGAACTGTAGATGCAAGTGTATTAAATTAAAAGAAGCTATATTCCAAACTCTGTATGAACTTTTAGATGTTAAGCCACACTTCTCTAAAAATGAAAAAAGTATATTTTTGTACTGTAATAAGCATTTAGATGTGCAACAGATGTGTAAAAACAGGAACAACCAGGTTTTCTTCTCATTTAAACCCATTATTGGCTAATTTGGTTAAGTACCACAAAAAATTGTATTTGACCATATTTTGCACTGTTTCCAGCTTGACAGAAATAGGTGAAAATAAAAAATAGTGAAAAATACATTATTGAAACAGTTTTGAATTTCTAGTAGTGTAATTCAGGTTTATGCAGAAATGTGGGTACATTCTAATTTTCTCTACCTCATTTCACTAATCTCTCAAGTATATTTCTGGGAGGGGAGTGTGGAAGAAGAGCAGGTTACAGCTAAAGCGGCAATTTGTTCAGTATCATCCCTTACTCTTCATTGGGCTTTTTTAACCAGGTTGGGGTTCTGAACTTTGGGCCAAATTTTGACTTGTACTTCATGTCACCTTACTGATACAGCTGCTCATATTTAAGATACAGTCATTACAACAGGTTTATATGGAATGTAAGTCAGGAAGAATCTGATACATTGTGACACACCTTTTTAATTGTTTGGTGTAGCAAAAGAAGGTGACAGAGCACTGTCTGTATTTTGAGTAGCAATAAGATGGTTTTGTACAATGTCTAGAGAGTGATGGGATCAGAGTCCATGATTCAAGGCTCTTAGATACTTCTCAAATGCAAATAGATTGTGATGATAATATAAGATCACCTGAACCAAGAATGCTTGCTAAAACTGGTGGGTTCCCAGCATTTATCACTTGAGCAAAAATATTTGGCTTCTTTTGTTTTTGTTCTGAACCATTCCAGGGAGTTTTTTAATGAGTTAGTAGATGAGGTTTTTGTTGAGAACTGATAAAGCAATGAACCTGTATTAGCAGCATAAAGCCTGTGGACTTGACACTGTTCTTTTTCCTTGCTTTCTGTGGTTATTTTTCTAAGCCAATTTTCCTGAAAACTAATATATCTTGTGACCTGTATAAAAAGATTAGGAATGTTTTGAGATTGCAATAATTAGCTGATTTGCATTTTTAGTTGAAAGGAAGTCAAACCAACCAATGGATTCAACTATACTTGCTCCAATTTAAATGAGCAGTTCTGAAGAGCCTTCTGTGCATCCCTGTTTGTTTAACTTAGCTTTGTCTCTTTGATCTCATGTTAACATACCTTAATGGCAGGTAATGATTGATAATGGTGTATTGTAAAGGCCAGGTAATAAATACTCCTTTACTCATAATAATGCTGAATAATGTACTTTTTATGACCCAGTTTGATGGAAAATTTCCTTGTCAGCTCTGCCTAATTGTCCAAACAAAACCACCCATTACTTGAAGAAATACATGTCTAACCTAGACACATTAATTAGGGTCATGACTGAGCTACACAAAGGAATATAGTAACACTTCAGTTATCTTTAAGTATGATCTTTGGACAGCAGTCCTAATGTTAAACTAAACTTTAATGGGAAGCTGTTGTTTACACTATTCTTTTGTAGCTCTCAGACATGTTGGAATCTATCCATAGCGACTCAGTGATGGGAAAAACAGTATCTCCCTTAAGGTCTTTAAAGGTCATAAACAATATTAGTTTGAACATCAAAAATCACAAAATCAAGTAAAACTACATGAAAAAGGAAGAAAAAAAGATTTTTTTTAACCAGTCAGAAACTGAAGTTAGTAACGATTGCATTGCATTGAGTTAAGAGTTAAAAAGGGCTTAGTTTTTAGCTGTTGACATCCTAGAATACTGTACATCAAAGTGCCTGGCTTATCCCTACATGAGTGCTGTCACTCTCATGCTATTTGCTGTCTTTTGAAGTTACAGGGATTTTACAGTGAATGGAATGAGGATAAGAACATACCTATACAGGCTTTTACAAAAGAGGCCAAATTTCAGAAACCTTTCAGTTCACAACTGTCTGTGTTTGGAACCTTTTCCAAGTTATTTCTTTTTCAGCAATCATTCAGCACGTTTTTAAGTGTGGAGTCTCTTTACCCTTGTTAGTCTTACTCATTGTATTATATAAGGAAAATATATGCATTGTAACAAGAATCAATTCCTTTTTCATCTGGGTGTATATCATACTAAAAATAAATGTAAGAAAACCTGTACAAGATAAAATTTTCAATCCCATGCTGCCGTAAAAAAAAATTTCTTTCATGACTAATTTGTACAGATGACTTATTCCTTGAGCAGTTATAGCTTTTATCATGTTCACTGAGAGTATGCATTCAGGTTTTTTTCATTTCTTGTGTTGAATAGCACTCTCTGCTTTGATTTCTATATGAAAAAGCAACAAAGAATTCAGTTCCCATAAATGGTATCTTTTATTTCTTAGCAGGTTGAGGTTCAGTAGAAGCCAGTGATAAAACTCATAACTTCAGGGGATGTATGATAAGCTTCTTAGGGGATAACAGTTTCTGTCAATTTTTTGTGAGGTCCATGGAAGAATCAGACAGGATGTATTCTTTGGTTATTTGGTATATTTTGCATATAAAGAGTTTGTACCTGTAAGACATCTGGACTTTGCTTTCTGTTTAAATATAGAAATGTAATTTATAAAATAAAAAAAATGTAGTTACATATCTTTAGTCTGTGCAAATCAGCATAGCTCTGCTAGCTTTAGTATGCTATGCTATCTTACAATTACTGAAAATTTATTCCAGATATTTTTAATAACAATATGGCAAAAGAATTAGAAACTAATACTTATATGCAATTAACTAATTACATTGTCTTGTCCAATAAAAGAATGAGATCAATTTGGCTCCCAGTGAAGCTGATGAGAATTTTGCCCTGGATCTCAATCAATGTGAGCTGAATTAGAACACTGGTTGCTTATCTGGTATCACAGGTGACATCTACAGGCCAAGGTAGTAAATTGATCCACATAGGCCATGATCTTCTACAAGGCTAGTGTACAAATGACTTTTTTTCACAGCTTGTGAAACAAGAGTAGGGTTTTAGAGAACTTTTACCTCTTCTCCTCTTCAGGTCCCAGAACCATACTTGGATTTGAGAGCAAGATAGAGACTCTTTCCCCAGGGAAAGTCAAGGGAGTCATTCAAAAGTCTTGTCTGCAGGCAGTGCAGAGATGCACATCTCCATGGATGAATAGCATTTAGGATCTAGAATGCTTTCCCTTCTCCATGGCACCCTTGGGGGGGGGGGTTGTTTGTTTTACAGGAAGGCAAATCTCTATTGGAAATGAAAGAAGTGGGATATAATTCCAGAAGGGACATCTGGCAGTTTCTTCCCTGGCAACATAAGAACTGTCCAAGTAGAATATGCTGTCTTTGAGAGTGGCCGGCAACAGATGCTTTGGAGGAAAGTGTAAAAAAACTTCCTATGGGCAGGTTTTCCTTAATTATGCACTATGGGAAGTTTATTTCAAATCCTTGTCAGCTAGTAGTTAGCTTAGGCTCTGAGATGTGCCGGTTTATACCCCTTCTAACAATTATTCCAGCTAAAATAACTATAGATGATCTCATTATACATATAAATTAAAATAAATAAACTATTGGTCTCAATGATATCATGTAGCAATGAGTTCCAGAGGTAGAATATTTGTAATAGGAAAAATAAGAAATATGTATTTTTACTTTAAATATTTTTGCCATCCAACTGCAGCTGTCCCTTCCCTTTGTTTTCATGCTATACTAGCATAAACAAGACTGTCTTGCTTATATTCTTGATGTCATTCATTATCTCTGTCTCCTCTTGTTTCCTTTAAACATCCAGATTTTTCTCCAAGTTACTTTATGCTTTTAATCATAAGCTCTGTACTCTAAAATAAAAACATTTCCCTTCTTTCCTCTATCAAATTCCTCCTTAATTCTTGCTTTCATTAAAAATGTGTTGTCTAACCAAAAACCTCTCCTACACTTTATTTGAACGGCTGTCCTGAGTTGTGTCTATCTGAGCTACTTTGTAGTTGCTTCATTATAGTGAATCTTACTTTCAATGAGCTTTGTAAAATTCTCTGTAGATTGTTGGCAGTCTATAGATAATGCTAGCAATAGTATATGAACACAAAGCACATTTGGTTAGGAACCAATGCATATAATCATTTTATAGGCAGAGAAGTTTACAAATTCTTTATCTCAACTGGAAGGTGGGTTCACAGCCATGAATATACTTAATAGTCATATCCTCTATACTGTCCTTTGCCCACAATTTGAGTGAACATAAAACTGTAATTTTTTTAAAAAGTATTAACTTCTAAAAAAAACTATTCTGAAGGATTGAATTGGATACTGAATTCAAGTCAGTTTAAAAAAAAAGTGGCAGCACATGTAATATAAACAAGAATATGACTGATGATTTGTGTAAGTTTGTATTCTCACCCACCAGTCTCAGACAAGAGAATGTTGCCTGACTGCAAGAAATGTCCTGGGTTCACTTTAAGATTGTGTAGCAGCTTGCTTGTAAGAAAAAAAACAACCCCAAACTTAGGGATAGGAAAGGGACATATAGCTACTGTTTTTCATTCAGCATTGAGTATATAAGATGTCTTGCCAAAAGGGATTTGTCCTTTTTATCTAGTCAGAAGACTGCTTTTGCTATTTGCATTTCTGAATTGCTTAGCTGCCCAAGCATGCTTTATGTGTGCTGCTTGAAATGTGTCATTGAATCACGTGACTGCTGTTCTCTAGCTGATGTTGGACTTTCTCCAACAAATATGGATTATGTTAAAGTCGGTTCTGAATTGACGAGGATATGTTAATAACTCCCAGATGGGCATCTTTGTGCTCTCCAGCAGGGAAATACAAGCAGTGTATGGCAGGAGCTAGTGTTTGGCAGGTCCATCATTCCGTCATTAAAGGCCACATTATTACTTACAACTATGCTTGCATGACAATTGGTTACATAAACTCAGTCTCCCAATAATGAACATACAGAATTTGCCTTTAGATACATTTTCCAATTGTGAAGAACTTTCATATGCCAGCCAGTATTTTTTTTCAGATTAAGATCAGGATTTTTAATGAAAAAATAAAATAAATTCACTGGTTACACAGATTCACAATTAAGATCAGTTTTCAGACATGTAGGTACAGCACAAAACATGATTTACAGTGTAAAACAGATATACCTCTAAAGTTCACAACATTCATTGAATTATGTGCTGGTCAGTGAAAAACCAAGTGTCATGATCAATGTGAATCACTGACATTATGCCTAGCTGAAATTCACTCATAGTTTCAACTGAGTGCAGTATTTTTCATTTCCTGTTTAAAACTATTTCTCTGGGAGTTATTTTCTTTCAAGCCAGAAAAGGCTCTATTTCAGATGAATTAATGTGTGTATGTATGTAGGTAAACAAAACTACAATATATGGAACAAATGCATTATTTAGATGTTTGAGGTCTTGCATCCCAACAAAGCTAGAAATGGAAACTTAGTACACTGAGAATGGTGTTAAAGTGCTGCAGCTGTAATGGTCCAGGAAATATGAGAGAAGCAAGGATTTTTTGTGGGTGACATCTTTTATTGGACTGACCAAATGCATTGTTGGGATAGACTTAGATAAACTTTTGAAAGAAATGTGCAGTTATGCAGGTATTAAATTGAGAATGCAGTATTTCCAGACTCCATTTAGCACTCTGAGTCGCAAGACTGCCCAAGATATTGGACTGTAAATTGTGACATTTATAGGTATAGAAATGGTATTTTAAATAATTTTATGGTATCCTTGTAGAGCTGGGCTTATAGTAACTACCAGCCAAGACATCTGGTTCTTCAGGTGAAGACTTTTGGTAATAGTCCCAATATATGTATTTTACAACTTTCTAAAATGTTTTTTTCTACAGAACTTGTGGCCAGTATATAGAAGGTGTTAGGGTAGTACAAGAACTTTATCAATACTTGTCTGAGATCATCCACATGACTCCATCTTAAATCAGGTTGATATAACATTCATACTACACCTTCCTGTATTATACAGATATGCCAATATCTCCAATTTTATAGTTAAATCAGATATGAATTTTGGCAGACATGATAATGCTTCTTGTATTTCTTTGATGAATAACTGTAAGGTGAAATGTTTTGAAATAATGTCAGAGAATCAACCAATCATGATTTATATTGTTATAACACCACTGTTGAGGATACCCTTTTGGACCATTCTGGAGCAGAATTTTCTGATGATATTCCAAATAGTTTGCAGCTGACCCAAGCAGTATCACATTGGCCAGACTTGAAATATTTTAGTATCTGTTAGTCTGCATATTATGATGAAATCCTTCTCAAAACTGGTACTAAATTTTCTTGGTTCTTAAACAGTGTTGTAAGAGTAGTTGAATGTAATACGTGGTATTTTAATATTGTGACTCTTAATGCTACATAAAACCTTTGTTTCCTACAGGTTTATTGAGCTAGTGTATTAGATTTCCTGCTGCATGAGCAGGAAGATTATGGTGGCTTATGTCTAAGTATACTTTTGGGAGGCATTTTGTATTTTCTCTATAAATAGTCTTTCTAAAACACAATTGTAAAACTATTAATGTTTATATTGCATTATACATTTCTCTGAGTTTACTGTGCTGAATATACAGTGAAGTAGCAAAAGGAAATGTTTTTGTCTAGGAAATGTTTTGAAAATTGTCATTACCAAAATGCTACTAAAAAGTGGTTATGTTTATCCTTTTTATCTATATATTTTGGCCTAAGGACTTATGCCCATTTTTTGTCACTACTATAATTGCATCAGGTAATTAATCACTTCAATAGAACCTGCAAATACTAAACTTTCAATAGCAATATTGGAATTCAAGCTGTCCCCCATGGGTCAGAAAAATGTGAAATATGTCAATTTCCATTAATAAAATTTTTACAGGTAAAACTTGGTTTTTGTATATGCGGGATCATGTCTCAGCAAAATATACATGCCATACTGCCTAATGTTTTTCCTTTAAGCAAAATAAAATTTGAATTATCACATATATATGTGACAATATTTTATTATATATTTGTTATTATAGGTATACATTATATATGTATTATATATATGATAATCAGGTTGTTTTATATATGTAATATAATTAAATGTAATATAATTAATATGCAAGATCTGCCTGCTCAAGAAAAATGCAAAACATCTCCAAACATACTGGTTTAAAAGCAGTTTACACTTCATGTGTAGATTATATTAGAATTATAACAGAAATGTATTTTGTTGTGAGGGTAATTTAATGAGCAATTTCTTTACCATTTATAAGAAAATGCCACAGGCATAACTCTCTACAAGGCCCCCTAGTGCCACTTATTCATCCATACATTAATAGCTGGTTTCATTATTTTAAAAAAAATGTAATGGGAGTGGAACAAATAACTGGTGCTGTTACATCCAATGAAATGAAAGATTATCATCTCCAAACAGTAAAAATTAGCTGTATTGGGTCTATCTTTGAATCATTCTTAGCTTCAGATGTAATGTGACGTATGGGTAATCTGCAATTTGCTTGGGGCATTGTTAGCATGCTTTGCCTCCAGGGTAGGATTTTATCCAGGCCTCAAGCAGATGTGTGCTCAGCTATACAGACACATTAGGTATACAAAACACCCTTGCTATTACCCTGGCAGAACTGGTGCCAAAGCCCCTGGTGACACAGAGGAGGTATTAGGTCAGATGAGTTACATTAAGTGGCAAGTGATAAATTCAAGATGACAATTCAAAACAGCAGTGTTTCTTCTAGTAATTAATTCCAGTGGTGCCTGAGGTAGTGCTTGGTTGCTACAACTAGTGTGGCCAATGCTGAGCAGCTAATGAGAAAACATTACAACAAGGATTAGGGGCCTGTACATTCTGGCAGGATGAGGTCACTATGATTAGAAAATATTAACACAGACATAACATGATAAACGAAATATGACAAAGACACTTTATTCATGCCAAAACAGCCAAATGGTTTAAACAGCAAACATCCTGTTGAGATCTAGATAGTATTTACGTTGTGTCTAGTCCAGAACCAATTGCTACCTTGGTTCTAGGGGTGCCAGCCATGCCATAGTTTGTTAGTAACCACAGCAGGGCTTTTTAATTTTCCTTGTAATTTCTTTTGTCAGGGATTACAATTAATATTGCAATGAAAAGGAAACAGACAAGGTAAAAAAAAAAAAAGCAATCCTTCTTTAAACTATTCTGTTTTACTGCATATTGCCATATCAGTTAATATGCCATCCTAACTAGACACTGGCCCATTCAAAAATCTATATTCAAACTTCCCCAAATATTTGGAGAGTCCATGCCAAGTTTCAAATGGGCTACCACCCATCTCTGCTAACGATAGAAGGGAATGCTGCAGCACTCTTTTGACAGGACATTTTGAAGAAAGGTACATGCACAGAGTAGTTTAAAAAAATCTACCTGCAAGTTTTTCCCACGGTACTATATTATCACCTCTAGTTGCAGGATTTTCATTATGAATAACTAGACGTGTTATATGGTATATTAACAGAGATCTGTGGGTTGTAATCTGCTTACTAAACATTTCTATCAATAGCATTGATAAATGATCTTCTCGTTTTGGGAAGACTTACTTCCTAACTGCTTTCAGTTAATTGAAAGGGTATGAACGCAAGCCAAGATGGATTGGGTATTGGACCAATTGCATTGCCTTGCTGTCTAAATTGCCTAAAGGTTACTGAAAGTTCTTTGCATTTTCTCTTTGTTTTATCTTATTATTGTATTTAGGCAACAATTTCTGCATAGAGAGGGACAGAAGATAGTAGATACATTGTTTTGGCTAAATACTTCTATAAAATGGATAAATGCTCTTTCATGAAAACAGTAAGACCTCCACTGGTCCCAAATGTAAAATATGCACAATAATATAATTTCACCAATTTGCAACCAAATCCTCATATTATCCGAAGAGAGGCAAGATGTGCCTGTGCTATACTGTGGATTTGCCTGAAAAATATCTTATATTAATGGAATTGCCTGTATGGATTAAAACAAAAACACCTTTAAGATGCTTCATGCTTTAATGTGAATTTTTGTTTTATAATCACAAAGCTCAAAAATGTTGAGGGGAGCTGCACAAAACTGTTTATGAACTCTGCTCCAAATGAGGTAAAAATGAAATAATGAATGAGGTTGTATCAAATACAGTGAATTTTAAAGTAATCAGACAGATTTTAAATGACATTAATATTATCTCTCTGATGGCTAATAAAAGTGTCAGCAGGCTAATATGCACTAATCTGAGCTGTAACTTGATAAGTGGCATTTGTTTCCCTTGAATTAAAATCTTTTTCAACTTATTCTTTGTTCTGCTTGTAAAATAGTCTTGTCCCTATGATTTGGCTTCATTTCTTCTTCTTGTGGTTACACAATGGATGATGACTGTATCTGTTTCATGCAGAATTGAAAACATTCCATAATTCCATCTCTATCACTATATTTGGACTAGGTTTGCCTAGCTATCAAATTTAATTTATGTTGATGCAGTTATTTAGGCCCTCCATTCACCCAATTACTTACGCATGTGCTTAACTTTAAGCACTACAATTAAAGCCCATTTTCCTTTTTGTATGGTACCTTATTAAATTCCCATCATGTTGATGGAATTAAAAATTGTAACATGCCATCTAAATTTTAAAAGGAAATGCATATATTCACAGAAGGCAGCATTCCACCTTCATTCAGAGTAGGAATAATCTGATCTGAATTGTTTTGGGACTGTAGGAATGTTTCTCCATCTCAGAGATTAGCATGAGAGAGTCCAACTATGCTTGAGTTCTTGTACCTAATCAGTTTCTAGGTATTATTATTTGTTAATACTTTATGAGCTGCATCAGATTTAACAATTTATTTTTTCATGAGTTTTTATAAATATATGGAAAAGTGAGTAGATGTGCAAAATATTCACTTTAGGAATTACTAACATGTCTACACATACATTAATGTGCTTTAGTTAATGTGCATTAAATCTAATACCTCCAGGTGCCTATACATGAGTGCTGAGGCTGCTCTGACATGCTGGAATTCCAGGACATTGGAGCAGACTTGATTAATTGAGTCTACTGGAGTGTGGCAATTGTTGCGCTCCAGCAGCCTCCTGCATCAGGTATCACCATCCCCATACATAAAAATGGCAGCAGGGACACTTGAGCTAAAGCTCATTGAATGAGCTTTAGTTCAAATGCTCCCACCCCCATTTTTAAGTGTGGGGATGCTGATACAAGAGATGCAGCAGCTCTTTAATTAGAGCAACTCTCAGAGCTGCTCTAATTAAAGCGCCATCCCCCACCCCTGCCCCCAGAGTGTATGTAAAAGTGCCCTTCATTGTGAGGTACTAAACAAATGCTTAGTAACCTGTCTTAACGCACATTAACTAAAGAGCAGTTTTTAAGTGATGCTTAATGAGCATTAGCCTATTTGCATGTGCATTAACTAAATAGCAGTTTTTTTAGTGATGCGTTAATGCACATTTAAAACAGTCTAATAATGCTCATTAAAGCACATGTGTATATGCACCCATTGTATTGGTAATTTAAAATAATTCAAGTCTTTCACCATTTTCAAAGGAGACATTTTTAATTTTCATATCCATTTGGCTGTAGTCATTGTGGTTAGTGACAGACATTCAAAAAGCCAGAGCCTGAATTGATTCAATCTTTGCAGGTTAGTCTAACCTGGCTAGGCTGAATGTAATTTACTGTGTCACTCTCTAGATGAGCGCCTTGGCTTTTCAGTCCGACTCCGCTACTGCTGCCTTCCAAGATGACAGCTTGACACACTGCATAGCCCCTCAAGGTGCCTGAGGGTTCCTTCCTGCCACGTCTTTTCTGGAATTAATAGTTGAAGAGGAGGAATATCTTACTCCTAGCTCCCTCGTTGCCTTGTTGTTTTCCATATAGTGTCTTCAACCCTGGGGCTCTGCCTCCCCTACAGCCCACCTAACGCCAACCAGCTGGTATTAAGGTCTAGTCAACTTGGACTTAGTGCCTCTGTCCATGCCCAGACTCAATACAAATCATCTATTCATCTATACACAGACTTTAGGTCTCTATACACAGTCTTTTCCTTGTCTCAAGGTATTATTGTCCATTCCATTACCTTCTATGCAATATTAGGGTAAGGCTGCACCTTTAGACTCAGTGCCCCCACACATGTACTCACAAATTCACTTTGCTTTAAATCTCTTGCCTTTCAGGTTCGCTATTACTCCAGCTCTGGGCTGTGATGTCAGGGATCCATGCCTGCCACAACGGTGATTTTCCTGGTGCCTCCAAGCCAGATATGGTGGGAAGCCTCTCAGCACCTGGCTTCCACCAATTGCACCTGCTGGGGCAAGCCCCCTCACTGTGTTGCTCACATTCCCTTGGAGACTGCTCTTCCAGTCCCACCTGGATATTGCTCCAGGTTGCTTTTGAACCAGCCTACATGGGCTGGGTGCCAAATCATTGCCGGCATGCATTTAGAAAGCGTGTCCAAGCCAGCACCAGAAGTCTGCCCCAGTCTGCTGCAGTGCTCAGTGTTGGCCACTCCTCTCATTGGTCCCGCAC